CTTTCCGAGAGTTTTGCCCCAGGGCGGCCCAGGGCCCCACGCTCAGAACCTCCCGCCCAGCCCAGTTTGTCGGTCCATTCGAGAACCCGCGAAGCCTGGGAGTGAGGGGTTGACGTACCATATCCCCTGCTCTTGTGCATGCAGCATGTCTGTCCCCACATCTTGCACTCTCTTCGGAAGGGTCGCCGCAAGGCCGAGGCGCACGGGCCATGTGTCTTCCCCCCATTTAGGTCAGCCCCCATTCCAAGACCCCCGACGTCATGAGTTTCCATGACGTCGACCCCCAATGTTTTGCATGTGTTGTCGGCTACTTTCCCTTTGTCTTCCAAAATCCGCCTTTAGGGGGACATGCCCGACCTAACATACCACCTGCCCGATAGTCGATCGCGAGCCGTCCGGACCGCTCCCAGACATGGCATCGCTCGGACGTGTGCATTTCTTCTCGGCGAGGGCCATCGAGGAGCATCCTTGATCATTTGGCGAAAAAACCACGCACGAAGTCGAACAAAAACACAGGGAACGGACGTCCGGGCGATGGCCAACAGAGTTCCCGGGCCGCGAGGCGCGGGCGCGCTGGCGCGGCCGGCCGCGAGCGGTACGAATTTTTCGGTCGCGGTGTCGCTCCTCCGCGCTTCGGCCGCCTTCTTCGGAGCGGTGCCGGAGATGCTGGTCGCGACCGGCCTGCGGGCCTCAAGTATCGTTTCGCCGACCCCCAGCCCCAGCCCCATCCCCTGCGAGCCCCCCACCAAAAATTACCGCCCCAGTTGGGGATGCACCCCTCGAAACCCGAAGGGGACGGCCGATATCCCCATCTAGGGTCATGTCGGGCGTGTCCCCCTACAGGGGGTTTTTTAAACGAAACATTACACATACCCCAAAAGTACCCCAAACAGGTAACACAAATATTCAAAAAATAGCCCCCAGGCTATTTTTTGATTATTTGTTGCTCATTTGTTGGGTATTTTTGTTTTTGTCGAGAATCCCCCTGTAGGGGGGCAGGCCCGACTTAAATCTAGGGGGGCAGATCGGCCAGTGGGGCCCAGGCCACGCCGCTGGGGAGGGGGCTCGGTTAAAAGGGAACTCCACAGGAGCGGCCGCGGCCGCTTACGACTGGCAAATGCTCGGTCTTGCCTGCTCTGGGCAGGGGTCGAGCTCGGCCACTCTTCGGGCGATCGCAAGCATGGATCGATGGTTATGTCGTGCGTGTCCCCTTACAGGGGGATTCTCGATGAAAAACAAAAAATACACCAAACATACCCCAAAAAGGTCAACAAACATACCCCAAACGTAGTCCCCTGATTATTGTTGGACGTTTTTTTGACTATGTTTGGGTTTTTTTATTTTTCGTCGACAATCCCCCTGTAGGGGGACAGGCCCGACTTAGATCAAGGGGGGGCGTGGATCGGCGACGGGCCCCGCTTCTGTGGGGAAACCGCGGACTTCCGCCGCCGGGCGAGGCGGCACCAGCCGCCTCTCGGGGAGGGGCAGCTGCCCCGAGCCGTGGATTTGGCGACCGCGCGCTAAACCCATGGACCCAGAGGTCCAACGCATTGAAAAAAACAAGACGGAGGTTTTTCTAAATTTTCGGCCTCTAGGGGCCCTCGCCGGGCCCCAAGACCGTCAAAAAACGGCTCAGGATGGAAAACCGGTCCTGGGGAAGGGGTCGGGACCTCCAGGGACCTCGTATTGAAAAAATCACGACATCGGATCTCTGGGGATCGCCGGCCCATGTTTGCGCGCCCCCGCCACTCCCCGGGGATCGCGTCTTGCCGCCCCGGGCCCAATCTTCTGCTCGCCCCCGGCCCGGCAGAGGGCCGCCCTATGGGGATGCCCGAGCTGAAAGTCGTGCCTGTCCCTCTGCAGGAGGAGCATCCAAAGAGGATCCACGATAGTCTGGGGACGAGTTCTTGCTGCCATTTTCCGGCACTTCTGGGGCACCTCTGTCGCCCGAGCTCCTCTTGCCTGCAGAGGGGGGGGGGGGGCGAGCTTTTGTCCGTCCTGCTTGGCACTTCTGGAGCACTTCTGTCGTCGCCCGAGCTCCTCCCGCGGGGGGGGGGGGGCGTGCCCGACCTGAGCTCCCCGGGGCGAGGATGGAGGGGCGCGCGCCGCGCAGATATCGCCAGAGGTCCCCCAGGGGGCCCCCCGCCGACGCCCCCCCCCATGGCGGCGCCTCGCTCGTGCGCTCCCGAGGCGCCGGGCCCCCGTCAGGAGGGGAAAAAACACACAGCGTCCATGAATCGTCGACTCCGTAGAAAAGGTGGGAAAATATGGGAAGTGGGGGGGAAGACAAGAAACCAGAAAATACAGATATGTGGATCATTGGATACCGATTTTTTTAGGTCGCGATCGGTAGCGACCGATCGGCACTCCAAGGCAGGCGACCGATTGCGAGTCGGTCGCGGCTGGACGCCACCGATCGCGACCGAGCGGTCGCGACCGATTTTGAAGCATAAATCGGTCGCGACCGACACCGAAATTGAAAGCGAAATCGGTAGCGACCGTTCTCGTCGGTCGCGACTGGAAAATTCCAGCACCAAAGGATCATCGGGGGTGGACAAAACCCCCAACAGTGACACGTCGATTAGTGAATTGTCCGTTTTCGGTTCTCGAGAGGGCGCCGCGGCCGTTATTTTCCAGGCTTGCGCCCGCCAGGTTTGGGCCTCAGGTCGTTTTGACTAAACCACGTTTTACTAAAGGGAGGTCTGTCCATCCCCGAGGTCAGGGTCCCCCGGCCGCTTCCTTCTCCCGGGGAGCGGCGCTCCGCCTCGTGCCCTATACGCTGCTCCAGCCTGCTCCACAGCCTTGCCCTCAGCGTTAGGTCGGGCCTGTCCCCCTACAGGGGGATGTTCGACGAAAGGTAAAACATACCCCAAAAATGGTCCAAACATAGCCCAAACTTAGTCTGGGGATTATTTGTTTTGAGCATTATTTGACCTTTTTGGGGTAATTTTGGGGTATCTTTTATTCTTCGTCGACAATCCCCCTGTAGGGGGACACGCCCGACTTAACCTTAGTGTCATGCTGCTCCAACCTATTTTCGCCTTGACCACCAGGAAAGACTTTCGAGCGCCCAGACAAGCACCGAAGCTCGAGGGTTTTCACGTGCCGGGCCCTGGGAGGCACTGTTTCGACACTGTTTCGACGCTCTCTTGCCACTTTTCTGGGTGCTCGCAATTATTTCGGGGATGCGGTCCTTCAGTCGGGCCGGGCCCTGGAAGCGACACGGCAGTTTTTGTTACCGGCTCCGTTTTGCCGGTTTTTTGTTCGCCGGTTCCGACGCCGTCGTTTCACCGGTTCCGTCGCCATTCTTTTACGGGTTTCCCGCTCCGGTTCCCTTCCTGGAGCCGTTTTTGCTGCCGTTTCCGGTCGCCGTTTTTGTGCCGCTTTTTTGGAAACGGTGAAAAAACAGCCCTGCCGTTTCCGGAGCCCACTAAGGCCTTGACCATCAGGAAGAAGTTCGAGCACCCAAAAAGTAGCGAAGTTCGAGGCTTTTCACGTGTCGGGCCCTGGGAGACATTCGTCCGACACTATGTCGACTATGTTTCGACACTTTTGCGACACTTTTCCGGGTGTTCGAGATTATTTCTGAGATGTGGTTCTTGAGTACGATGGGAGCGACACAATCCGAGCCGTTTCTTGTGGCGGTCCCGAGGCCAGGCGAGGGCCCCTAGAGGCCGATCATTGTGAAGGACCCCCCGCCTCGATTTACTTACTCCTAGGGGAACGAGGAATGACATAAGCGTCAAAGCTCGGAGGTCCGCGCGGATTTCTCGGATCCGCGCTGGACCCCCCTCCCTGGCGCTTGGAGCGCGCCAGGGGCGGCGCCGCGCCGGAGGCGCCGCCAAGGGGGGCCCCAGCGCGGATCCGAGCTTGGACGTTTATGTCAGGCTTCGCTCCCCTAGAAATCTACGGACAGACCCCCGCCTCGATGTACTCTGCAGTCGGGCCAGTCCTTCTACAGGAGAAATGTTCAAAAAACAAAAAACATACATACACAAATAGTGGGACAACTGCTTTTTTATATGGTTTTCTTTATGTACTATGTTTGGACACTGTTGGAATATACTTATTGCTCTTCCTCTCAAATCCACCTGTAGGGGGACATGCCCGACCTGTCTTCACCCAGGAGAGGAAAAAACACACAGACACAATGAATCGTCGATTCCCCCGAGAATATGGGAAAATATGGGAAGTGGGGGGGGGGGGGAAGACAAGAAACCCAGAACATAGGGGAGACTATGGGGAATCTTGTTACTTGTGTGTCTTTATTTGTGTGCCCCAGGGCCCCTTCCTTCGCTGCCGCCCGCAGGACTGCGGCCCCGCGGCGGGCGCCCCGCGCCGCCCCGCGCGCCCCGCCGCGGCGTGCCCGGCGCTGCTCCTCGCCTGCGGCGCCGCGGCGCTGCTGCTCGCGCGGCGCGGCGCGCCCGCGGCGCCCGCCGCGGCGCGCGCCGCGGCCGCGCCCGCCGAGGGGGCGCTGAGCCTGGTCGGGCTGCTGGGCGGGCGGCGGCGGCGGCCCCCGGAGGAGGAAAAGGGGCAGCATGCCTCTACCTATCTATCTATCTGTCTGTCTGTCTGTCTGTCTGTCTGTCTATCTATCTATCTATCTATCTATCTATCTATCGATCTATCTATCTATATATCCATACACATATATATATATATATATATATATATATATATATATATATATACACCAGCCTCGAACGTATCCCTATCCCTAAGATTGACACGCCAAAAGGCGATGGCAATCTTAGGGATCCGCCCTCAAAGAATAAGGGGATCCCTAAGATTGGCATCGTGATGAGGAGGTGCCCAGCATAGGGATAGGGAGATGTTCCAGGCTGGTAAATCTATGCCTTTCGGCTGTGTTCCTTTTGTTTGGGGGGGGCCTCCTGGGCGGCCCTCGCCGCCACCGCTGGATGCGCTCGAGGGGCTGGTCAGAGCGCACCCCAGGAGGGGTCCGGGGAGGACCGGTACCGATACCTTTTGGACTCCCCCAGGCCGCCCGAGCGGCCTGCGGACGATGGCGGCGGCGAGGGCGGCGCGGAGGGCGGCGGGGCGGAGGGCGCCCCAGACACGGCGGTCAGCGGCGCCGGCGCCGGCGTCAGCGAGGCCCAGGGCCTCTTCCACAGCGCCTTCGGCCAGGGCGCCTTCGGCCAGGCGCGTGGGGCGGGGCCAGATGGCGTCGGAGCCCACCTCGGGACGCCCGATCGGGCTGGGTCTTGGCGCACACCGTGGCTGGAGCTGGGGTAGCTGCGGCGCCTCCCTGAGGGTACGCTGACCCGGGGGAACGTTTGGGCCCTCCTGAGCTGAGGAGGCCCCGTGCGGGTTCGTGCCAACAGGAATGGGGAGATCTGGGCCCCCTCTCTCTCCAGGGCTCCCAGATGGGGTCGGGCTGGATGGGGTCGGAGGGTCGCGCCGCATCGCCGACGCATCGGCGATGCGGCGCGATGTGGAGCCCGATGATCCCCACGCCGACGGCGCCGATGCATCGCCGACGTCGCCGGTGCATCGCCGATGCGTATGGGCGATGCATCGGCGATGGGGCGCGATCCTCCGACCTCTTTTACTCCGGCGCCATCTGGGAGGCCTCTACTGTCGCCACGGCTGGACGCGGCTTGAAAAAGTGGTCAGCTTCATGGGTCTGGGGGTCGATGTTGAGCGGCTTTGCCTCCGCGCCCCCCTCTTGGCTCGGGGCCCCGCCAGAACAGACCCCCTGGCCGCTGCCATGCCTCGTGCCTGTGCCCAGACGCCCTTGGTCCCGTGAGGCACAGCCGCGCGACCGGTGCCCCAGTGCAGGAATGGGGATCGTCACGGATCGGGCCGGGCTCGGAGCGCGTCCAGTGGTGGGGCCGGTGGTTTTTGTCGTAGTTTGTTTGGGAGGTAAATCACGGAAGTTTCCGCTCTTCTTGGATCGAGTGTATGCCTATCCTATCGCCTTCAGTAGCGCCCACTAGCCAATAGCGCTTCATAGCCCGGACTAGCGTCCAAACGCGTCCAGTGGCGCCGAATAGCGAATAGCGCCCCGTAGTGACCAAGAACGCGCAACTGTGCCATGTGAGGGAAATGAATGCTGTCCGCTTCGCGCCCGACTGGGCGCGCTATTGGGCGCCATGGGGAAGACCAACAGCTTCTGTGAGTTGCACTCTTCGGTTCCGAACACGGCCGATGGTTGGGTCGATGGTTGTTGTCGTAGTTTCTGGTTCGTTCCCACGACGTCGGATGTCGGGGCTCGGGGCCACAGCCAAGACGTTGGAGTCAGCAGCAGAAGAATTCAGTCGGGCCTGTCCCTCTACAGGGGGAACACTCGAACATAATCGAATACTGTGGGCGATGTTTTCATCATTTTTGAGTATTTTTGAATATTTGTTGACTATGTTTCATTGTTCGTCCACAATCCGCCTGTAGAAGGACACGCCCGACCTAAGTTTAGAAGGCAGCTCGCTGTTCCTGGGGCGCTGCCATGGTTGTTCCGCCGGCGCTCCTCGTGGGCCCAGGCGCGGGGGCTTCCTTCTCGATGTCGCGTCCCTTATGATGGCAGCTTGACTGTACAGTTTCCGGGCTGGCGGCAAGCAAAGGGGGATGCAGGATACAGCCAGACCGAGGTATAAGATCGAGGTCGGTTCGGGGAGGGTGTGCAAGTGTTCTTCGTGCTTGTTGGATGTGTTTGTGCATCTTGGGGAGGGTACCCGTGGATGTTCGGTTTGTTTTGGCCGACGAAGGGTCTCCTGCTCTTGAAGGACACTATTCTGGCCAAGGCACGACGCTATGGGGGGCAACTTTGGAGAAGGGGCCTCCGAGAATCCAGCGGCAAACCCTGAAAAGAGAAAGGGTGGTGCAACATTCTTGCAGGCCGAGCTTCGCAGACCATCTCCCAGGCGGGGGGAACTCCTGGAAGCGTCCCTCTGCCACCGCCGATGCGTTCCGCCCACGTGAAGCCCTTGGCAAATCGGAGCACTTCGAGCCCTGCGAGCCCTTGACAAGATGTCCTCCTCCTCCGGGTCTCACGTTGAACTCGCAAACTTGAACTTAGAGTGGTGACTTTGCACCCCCTGCGCCATTCCAGTCGTGACCATACATGCGTTGGTTGATGTTGGCGTGCGAGGAGGTGGACGGACGCCCTACCCTCTCGTAGAGTTTGGCGCTTTGCTCTGGTGTTTTGTCATGGCTCAGTTCGTTGGTTATGTTTTGGTTTGGACGAGCCGTTGTTCGGGGAAGCTCTAAACGTCAGAACGACATCAGCACACGACACAAACATTTTCAGAGCTACACGCAACAACGCAGACCGTTGCCACATCTTTCAGGTTGCGCACTGGTTTGGATCCATCCAATTACTTCTCACCCTGAGCAGGGCCCCCGCAGTGCAAGCACTCTTTGGAAAACCCGGCTGGGCCAGGAACGCCCCAGCTTCTTCCCCTCCTGAGCCTCTTCCCCCCTCCTCCGCCCCTCCTATAGGTGGCAGGCGCAGGGATCCCAGCCGGCGGCTCGAAGGTGGAGAGGGAGAGGCTGGGGAAGATTTTCCAGGCCTTCAACAACGTCGGCACCAGCCGCGCGCCGGGGGGGGTCCTCATGGTCATGCTCGACGGCGCGACCGTTCGAGGCTGGACGGAGCTGAGCCTCGCCAACGTGGCATCCCAAGGCTGCGCGCCCAAGCTGCGGAGGACGCGCGGCCTGGCTCACAATACGCACCTGCGAGTTTTTTATATAAAAAAGCATAAATGGTTACATGTATAGATGTATGTGTATATATATATATATATATGTGTGTGTGTGTGTGTGTGTGTGTGAGTCTCTGGCCGTCTGGCTCTCTCTCTCCCTCTCTCCCTCTCTCGCTCGCTCTCCCTCTATCTATCTCTCTCTATATATATCATCTCTGTATACACGTATACATAAACGATTTTGGCGAAATTGTATGTACCCACTGTATGGCTGAAAACCGGGGCCCGGGGTCCTCGCCCCCCTCCCGCACGTCCGCCGCGGCACGCCCGTGTCGTAGGTTATGACCCCCCACGTGGCCATAAGAGAGGGGCTTTTTCATAGCGCCAACATCGCAGAGCGGATTTCGTTCGGAAAACGATCGCCTTGGCCCGGGAAGTCCTGGAGAGTTTCGTTCCAGATTTCGAGGTGGATTTCGTGCGGATCTTTTTGTTGGCCAGGGATGAAGACCAAAAAGAACCCACGCGAAATTCACGTCGTTTTTCGCTCGCCGCTTCGGGCAAACATCCACGCAGAAATCCACGCGGAAATCCGCTGCAGCACGTCTGCAAGGCCGGTGCAAGGACCCTTCAAAGAGAGTCATGGCAGAGGAGCCAAAAGAGGCACCCGAGAGAGCCCACCGCTCCAAGTCGGCCTAAGAGGGCCTCCGCCACCAAAAAATAGACCTAGACGCCCTGCAATGGACTGTTCCCTGACCCTCAGGGGAGGGTGACGGTGTATACATCACCACTGGGAGCCAGCCACTTTATACACCGCCGCCCTCCCTGTAGGTACGTGCGAAGTTAGTCGAGGGGCGTCTGTGTAATTATATATTTCCGTGGCGGATGGCCTCAAGACGGCCCTAAAGGCCCCCAAGACGTCCTAAGAGAGTCCCAAGAGGACCCCCAAGATTGCCTCAAGAGCCCCAAGAGGACCCCCAAGATGGCCGCAAGCCTGGGGGGGTAAATCGGCCAGTGGGGCCCAGGCCACGCCGCTGGGGATGGGGATCGGTTAAACGATACTCACGCGCGCGACCGCTCGGATCCCCTGGCATTTTTCCTTGGAAGGCTCCGGAGGAAGAGCCCAGAGAACAGTTGGTATACCCCAGAGAAGGACAAGGTACCCATATACCTCTACCCATTGCCTCGTTTTCCCCTTCTTGGACATCCTCGGAGGCCCCTGTCGCCACCCCTGGATTCTCGCCTCGAAGTTCTGGTCAGAACGCACCCCGGGAGAGGTCCGGGGAGTAGCGGTATCGGTACCTTCTGGTTTCCCCAGTGCCCGCCCCCTGCGGCAACCCATCTCTCAACAGCCCGCCTCGCGGCGATGGATGACCAGCCTGAAGCTTAACATGTCCCCATACCTGTGGCCTCGATGCCGATCTGGAAGGGATTCCCTCCGTTTCTGAGGGTGCAGCCCTGAGATCGTCATCGCCTTTGGGCTTTTCAGTCTTGGGGATGGGGTTAGGCTCGCGTCTGGTTGATGGAGCCTGGCCAGACACCCGCCGATTTTTGATTGTTTCAGCCCGCGGCCCCGGAGGTCCTGGCCCCTTCCCCGGGGGTGGCTTTCCGTCCAGGATTCATGTTTGATGGCCCTAGGGCCCGAGACACGGCCCCAGAGGCCGAAATCCAGGAACATCCGCCAGATCGAAAACATCAGATCCTCGGATCTCTGGGTTCTCCTCGTCCCCAGATCATTGGATACCAATGTTTGTTCGGTCGCGATCGGTGGCGACCGATCGGCACTCCAGATCGGTCGCGACCGATCGGTCGCGAGCGATCGGTCACGACCGATGTTGAAGCAAGTCGGTCGCGACCGATACCGAAATTTCGAGTAAAATCGGCAGCGACCGTTCTCGTCGGTCGCGACTGGAAAATTCCAGTACTCCAGATTTCGTAATAAAAGGGAGGGGGTCTGGACCCTCCAAGACAAGCCATTTCAGACCCCCCCCCGTGGGAGAGCCCTCCAAAACATCGTCCCCAGACCCCCCCAGGCCCTCCAAGATAGCCTGGAAGAGACCCCCCGCCGAAATGAGACCCCCCTCCCTTTATTACGAAATCTGGAGTAGCGACCGTTCTCGTCGGTCGCGACTGGAGAATTCCAGCATCAAATGATCAGCGTCGGAGGCGGGCGAGCGCGGCCGAGCACGGCGGGGCACCTCCTCCCGAGGACCTGCGTCCTGGCCCACTACCTGCGCAGGGACCTGGCGCCCGTGGTGCTCAGCAACCCGGGGCACCGGGCGCACAAGGCCTGAGTCGGGCGTGCCCCTCCTACTGTACAACGACGCGAAGATCGGGACAAAATCGGATCGGGATAATTCGAAATCTCTGAGAATCGGCGGGTTTGGAGGATGTATTGGGCGCCGCGGCCGCTCCAGAGCGTTCCGGAACGCTCTGAGAGCGCTCCGGAACGCTCTGGAGCGATTTATCCCGATCTTAGCCTTGTTTTATACTGTGGAGAGAGATGCAAGAACGGCAGGTTTTGATCATTTTGATTTCCCTGTTTCGATTTCCCCAAAAGTCCGCCTGTAGGAGGACATGCCCGACCCAGCCCGAGGCGCAGGGGCGCAACCCGAGGGTCGGCCTGGTGCTGGACGCCAACAAGGCCGCGTCCGCGGCGCGGCGGCGAAGGGGGGGGGCCCCGGAGATCTTGGCGTCTCATTTTTGTTCGGAGGTTGATGGACCTCCTACCCTGACACGTTTTTGAAGGAGTTGGCCGCTTTCGGTTCGCGAGAGGGCGTCGCGGCCGTCGTTTTTGCGGGTCCGTCGGTTTCGGTCTTAGGCAGGCCGTTTTCACTGAGGGGAGGTTTACTAAAGGGAGGTTTGTCCACTGCCGATTTTTTCGAGCCGGGCGTTGTCGCCAGGCTGTGGGGCTCCGGGGCCAGCACAGATCGATCCGGCTCGAAGAAGCAGCGCAGGACGATGGGGTCCAGGGTTAATATGATGGTCCAACCTACTTTAGCCTTGACCGCCAGAAGGAACATCGAGCACCAAGAGAGTACCGAAACTGGAGGGTTGTCGTGTGGCGGGCCCTGCGAGGCGATACTCGTTCGGCACCGTTTCGAGACTTTTCTGGGTGCCCGAAGTCTTTCTGGGATGTGGTCCTCAAGTACGATGGGAGCAACATAAGCTCCGGTCGTCATGTTGTACGAATTTCTAATTGGAGAGGCCTGACGGCCGGTGCCGCCGACCCTGATCGAAAGGGCTGGGAGTGGGGGGAGGAAGCGGAGGAGGAGGAGGAGGAGGAGGAGGAGAAGGAGGAGGAGCAGGAGGAGGAGGATGAGGAAGAGGAGGAGAAGGAGGAGGAGGAGGAGGGCGGATTTTTCGCGACGTCGGATCTCAGGGGCAGCGCCGAAGGGCAGGGCGAGAGGCCGGACCGGACCCGGCACTCTGCAGCAGCTCTCGCCCGCCGCCTCGCGGAAGGCCCTCGACTCGCCCCCGAGAGCCAAGGGGCTGACGCTGCACCTTCGGTCAGAGCCCCGAATCATCAGGGGTAACTCGGGTCAGGGCTAACTCGGGTTCGCTTTTCGGGAATCCGAACCCGAGTTATCCCGGACCCGAGTTACCCCGGATATTTCGGGCGTCCAGAGCCCCGAATCATCAGGGGTAGCTCGGGTCAGGGTTAACTCGGGTTCGTTTTTCGGGAATCCAAACCCGAGTTACCCCGGACCCGAGTTACCCCGGATAACTCGGGCGTCCAATTCGGGGGACCTCGCCTGTCCCGAAAATCGGTATCCGTTCTGGCTCCCGACGCGGGCTCGACGCGGGCTCGACGCGGATCCAGCGCGGATGCGGCGCGGACTCCGGCGCGGCCTCCCCACGGACCCGGCGAGGCCGACGCCGATGCGGCAGAGCGTCGACGCGGGCAGGGCCGCGGCGGGACGGGCAGAGGTCCCCCGCCCGGAGCTGCAGCAGAGAGGGGCCGCTCACCTGCAGCTGCCGCCGCCTGCCCTCCACAAAGAGCAGGCCCGGGCCCCGAGCCCCGGGCGGCCCCGGGGCGGGGGGGACAGCAAGTGCCCACGCCACGGCACCCCCTCTCCTCCTCCTCCACCCCCCCCCTCCTCCTCCTCCTCCTCCTCCTCCCCCCCCCACCTCCTCCTCCTCCTCCTCCTCCTCCTCCTCCTCCTCCTCCCCTCCTCCTCCTCCTCCTCCTCCTCCTCCTCCTCCTCCTCCTCCTCCTCCTCCTCCTCCTCCTCCTCCTCCTCCTCCTCCTCCTCCTCCGTCTCCTCCTCCTCCTCCTCTCCTCCTCCTCCTCCTCCTCCTCCTCCTCCTCCTCCTCCTCCTCCTCCTCCGTGAAGGCAATCAGGCATGACGGCAACGACAATTGCAATATACATGTGGCCCGCCCCCCCTCACCCCCAAGCCCAAAGTTGGAGTGTCCATATTTTGTTCCCCCCGCATTGCCTCGCATCGAACCCTGCCATCTTTGGGTTGGGGGGGCGGGGGCTCTGGATGTTTGTTCGACGCAGCTCGATGTCGCATCATCTTGGCGCGATGGGTGTGGATTATGATGTTCCAACTTACTTTAGCCTCGACCACGAGAAAGAATTTCGAGCACCAGAAAGGTACCGAAACTCGAGGGTTTTCACATGTCGGGCCCTGGAAGACACTCGTCCGACACTGTTTCGACACTCTTTCGGCATTCTTTCGACATTTTTCCGGGTGCTCGACATGATTTCTTGGATGTGGTCCTCAAGTACGATGGGAGCAACATCAGGTGTGGACACGTTTTGTCCACCCACCGGGGGGGGGAGGAGAGGCGGGTGCCTTTTTGTGTTCCGTCGTGCTCCCCTCTGCAGTTGCCTGGGCTTCTGTTGCCGTTTCCGACCGTCGAGGGCAAATCGGTGGCAGTCCGCGGTCGTGCTCGCTGTGTGTGCAGTAGTCTTGTGTCGGGCGTGTCCCCCTACAGGGGGATTTTCGACGAAAAATAAAACATACTCCAACATATTCCAAAAGGGTCCAAAAAGACTCAAATAATAGTCCCCAGATTATTTTAGGATTATTGTTGGTTTATTTGTGCGGTATGTTTTTGCGTTTCGTCGAACAATTTTCTGTAGGGGGACAGGCCCGACTTAACAGTAGTCGTGGTGATCGTCGCCGCAGTGGCAGGCATGCAGCAGCAGCCGTCGCATCCGTGAAAGCGCTGGTTCTCGTAACAGCAGCCGGCTCTGCAGACATGGTGTGCCTCGCGGCGGCCCTGGCACAGGTCTCTCTCTCTCTCTCTCTCTCTTTCCGCGACGGCTTGCCGCAACGCGTCGACTTGTTGAGATAGGCAGTCTGGCTGCGTGCGTTCTGCATAGATCGAAGCTGGTCTCCCGTTCGGCGTGGGGCCAGGGGTGGCGGGCAGGATGAACGCTATTGCGGTGTAGCTTGCCGCTCATCCCCCCGATTGAATCCTCTAGCCAGCCCAGGTACGTCCAGCTCCTCCGTTCGAGCCTCCTGAGGAAGACTCGGGGCCACTACTTTTCGAGCGGTTGCTGTGTATGGCAGCGTGCGGGTCGGTTTGAGCGGGGTAGCTCCGTCGGTGACAGAACGCTGGACTAGTCGGCTGCACGGACCGTTCTTCTCGGTAGTGGCAGTGGTAGGAGGAGGAGCACGAGGAAGATATACAAGGGCGTGGATGATGGGGTGGAGGAGGAGGAGGAGGACGAGGAGGAGGAGGATGAAGATACATGGGGCGTGGAGTGATCGGTTTCGCGCATGAGTGACCGTTTTTCGCCGGAGTGACCTTCGGTACGCAGCTCGCGGGGGGCGCCGCGGGGCTGGCCAAGCCCAAGCACGCCTTCCACTACCGTCGCACCGCACGCAACGGCTGGGACGTTGCGCACCAAAGGTTACTCTTTCCCAGGGTCGCTCTATTTGCGTAGCCAAAGATTATTGAGGATAAAAGAACCCATAGCCCTAACACGATACAGACGTAGTCTCACTGAGGTCCCCGTCTTCACATTAGGGATGATAATTCTGGGCGGTTTGTTTCGGCACACCTGCAGTAAACAAAAAACCCTATCCATCATGTTCCGGGCCCTCCTAACTTAGGTCCCTTCCCAAAGGGTCAGGGGTGATCTTGGGGTCAATCGAAAGTGAGGAGGGGGAGGATGGATACATAATGCCACCCTTCCTTGAACCTTGATCACCAGAAAGAGCTGTGAGCACTAAGGAAGTACCGAAACTGGAGGGTTTTCAGGCGTCGGGCTCTGGGAGGCGACGCTCGACGCTGTTTTTTGATACTTTTCTGGGTGCTCGACATGGTCCTTAAGTGCGAGGAGGAAAAGGAGGAGGAGGATGGGGTTACCCAGTGGAGCCCCTCTCGCCTCGTCCTCTTCCTGGGGGAGGAGTGGGGTCAGAAGGCGGCAGGCGCAGGTGCGGCCTCGCATTTGCTGCCGCCGCCCTGGATCGGAACCCGGCCCAGAGGGAGGCCTCCAGAGGCCCCCAGAGAGCAGACGCACCCTCGGTCGTCGTGCTCCGCGGCGGCGAGCGAGGGGCGAAGGGAGAAGGAGAAGGCCTTCTCAGAAGGGCCAGAAGTCCCCCCCGGCCTTCTGAGAAGTCTTCCAGGCCTTTCCTGGAGACAGAAACGGTTTCACGAAGCACGAGGGCTTCTGAGAGGCCCCGCCGCCTGCTGAGGAGGCCTTCTCCTGCGCACTTCCCCCCCTCGCTCGCCGCGAAGCTGCAGCCTCCCGGGAGGTGTTCAGCATGGTCACTGGCATGTTCGTGATGGACGGGGACGCGAACGCACGCAGCGCTTGCTCGAACGAGCTCGGGGAGACCCGGTACGTGCTCCCCGGCGACCCCGAGGCAGAAGAGAGCTTCGACTGCCAAGCGGGCGACCAGGAGACCTGGTCGGAGGTGAGCACCCTGCTGTGGTCGGGAGGAGGCGCGGGAGTCAGGAGCAACACGTGGAGGCATGGGCTCAGGGAGGGATGCATCGACCGTTGTGGGCCCTGGAAACGACAGGTCCTTTTTGCTACCGGTTCCGTTTTGCCGCTTTTGCTGCCGGGTCCGGCGCGTCGCCGTTGTTTTGCCGTCGTTGGTTCCTGTTCCCATTATGGAACCATTTTTGTTCCCGTTTCCGGTTGCCGTTTCTATACCGCTTCCATTTCCAAGGGGCACTTCTTCGTACACGCGTAACGAACCTGTCCTGCCGCTTCCGTGGCCCACAAAGGCATCGAACCCCATTCGCTCATTCATCGGTATCGTTTATCCGATCCCCATTCCCATCTCCATCCCCTTCGAGACTCCCACCAAGTTACCACCCCTGTTGGGGATACACCCCTCGAAATCCGAAAAGAACGACCTACATCCCCATCTAGGGGGGTAAATCGGCCAGCGGGGCCCAGGCCACGCCGCTGGGGATGGGGATCGGTTAAATGATATTCAATTTATCGTAGATTTGGGGCCTGATAGCCCACCCCGCCCAGGAACGTGCGGTTTCGCTGTCGAGGGCCTATCGCGATGGGGTCAATTTTGGCAATTGGCGACGCATCGCCAATTGCCAATCGACTGGCGACGCATCGCCTGCTTCCAGCTCGATGTTCCGCCCACTGAACCAGCCAGCCCCCCTCCCTCCTCAAGCTGCCCCTCGAAGAGGAGGAGGAGGAGGAGGAGCAGGTGGAGGAGGAGGAGGAGGACCAGGAGGAGGAGGAGGAGGAGGTGGAGGAAGAGGAGGAGGAGGAGGAGGAGGAGAAGGAGGAGGAGGAGAAGGAAGAGGAGGAGGAGGAGGGGCAGCAGCAGGACGGATCGGGCGCCTTCGTGTCTGGCGGGGAGGTGCTTGCGGTCTCTCCCCCCAACGAGGAGTGTCCCGCGCGCAAGGGCTCTGGCACATTTCCCCCCCCACCCCCGCTGGCGGGGGCATCCGCGGTCTGCTCCCCTCCGTCTCCTCTGCCTCCTCCTCCCTTCCAACTCCCTCATTCTCCCTCCGTGCTCGCTCCTCCTCTTGCACCCGTCTTCTCCTTCCCTCCCTCGTCTTGCTCGTCCCGCCCTTCTTTTCCTCCTCCCTCCCTCCCTTGCTTGTCCTTCTCCCCCCCCCCCTCCTCCCCCATCTCACTGCTCCGTCTCGTTGTCCTCCTCTCTCCCACCCCCTCCCTTCCACCTGCCTCCTCCTGCCCCTTTACCGCACAGCCTGCTCCAGCAATTATCTTGTAAGTTTGCGGATGGCCGCGCCCATCTCGAAGGGCAAGGTGCTCGCATCCGCGGCGGCCGCACAGGGTACTCGAAGTGCGTGAAGTGCGCTGCTGAGCTTCAGTCGTGACCAGTCGCAATGGGCAGCCAGACAATGCGCGAATGCACCTTCCGCAATATGTACGTCCTCGTGCCAGGGTTGGCGGGATTGGCCACGGCCTGCTCGCCGTGGAGGTGGTGCCTGTCGCACCGGCCACGGCTCCAGAGATCTCTGGGGCGCAGTGACGCTTGGCGTAGCCTCAGGGTGTCGGCGGGCAGACCCCCGACTCCTGCCTGGAGGATTTCCCCGAAGGGCTTAGGCGACCCGTCCTCCTCCTCTCCTCCTCCTCCTCCTCCTCCTCCTCCTCCTCCTCCTCCTGCTTCTCCTCCTCCTCCTCCTCCTCCTCCTCCTCCTCCTCCTCCTCCTCCTCCTCGGGTCGCCTACGGCCCCGGGGGAAATCCGTGCACTCCTGCCTGCCCGCGGGGCTCCTAGGGGCAGGAGTGCCAGGCCAGGGCAGGGAGCGCGCGACGAGCAGAGGCAACGCGCGAAAGAGCCAAGGCAGTCGAGGGTGTGCAGCAGGGAAAAAAGACTCCTACACACGGTGAGTCGTCGACTCCCAGGAAAAGATAGGAAAATGTGGGAGGTGGGGAGAAGGCGAATATCCAGAACATATGGACAAACGTTGGGAATCCTGGGATTTGTGTGTGTATTTATGTGTGTGTGTGTGTGTGTGTGTGTGTGTCCTTGGGCCCCTGAGATGTGCCGACCCTCCTTCCCGCCAAGCAGATAATGCCTGCGGATGGAAGGAAAACAAACACATCATCTCTCCAGGTCACTGCCACCGCCACAGAGGGGGCATGCATCTTTGTTACGGCTGTCATGCGTAATGCGCCCCTAATATGGTGTCGCGGTGGGTGTAGCTGCCAGTGCCAATATATGCTCGCCAGCAGCCCCCCTCTTCCTCCCACTTCCTTCATCCTGTTTCACATTACTCCTGAACTTGCTCTTTCCTCCTCCTCTCCCGTTCCCATTATTCTCATCCTCCTTCTCTCGTTATCATTATTCCCTCTCCCTCCTGCTTCCATCTCCCCCTCCGTTCATACTTCCTCCTCCTTATCCCGCATTCCTTCTACCTCCATGCTCCCGCTCCTGCTCCTGTTCCTACTGATCGTCCTGGCCCTGACCCTGGCTCTCGGGCTCCTCCCACTCCTCGCTTCTACCTGCTTGGGGTCGCTTATCCTGTTTCTGCTGCTCCTCCTCCTCCTTCTCCTCCTTCTCCTCCTCCTCTTCCTCCTCCTCCCTCTTCGCTACAATACAGCATCCCCCTCCTCCTCTTCCTCCTCCTCTTTCTCCTCCTCCTCCTCCTCCTCCTCCTCCTCCTCCTCCTTCTCCCCCTCATCCTCCCTGCTCTCTCCTCCACCTCCCCTCCCTCTCCTCCCAGCCTGCTCTTTTCTCTCTCTCTCTCTCTCTCATCTTCCTCTTGGCCCCCGTCGTCCTCCTTCTCCTCTGCTGGGCCCTCAGGTGAAGCGTGGCTGGTGCTGCTCGCACGAGCTGGCAGGCTGCCCGGAGGGCCAGGGCGAGGAGTATTTCGATTGCGAGGCCGCAGGGCACCTCGGGGGAGGTATGGAGGCGTGCGGGAGCACCAGGAGGGGGAAGGGGGAAGGAGGGGTCACGCAGGCAGGTAGAGGAGGAGGAGGCGGAGGAGGAGGAGGAGGAGGAGGAGGAGGAGGAGGAGGAGGAGGAGGAGGAGGAGGAGGGGGAAGAAGAGACCCTCAGGGAGGACGAGGAGGAGGAGGAGGCGGAGGAGGAGTACGGGGAGGAGGAGTACGGGGAGGAGGAGGAGGAGGAGGCGGAGGAGGAGGAGGAGAAGGAGAAGGAGGAGGAGAAGGAGGCGGAGGAGGAAGAAGAGGAGGAGGAGGAGGAGGAGGAGAAAACATGGCCTCCCGGATCTCCCTCCCCTTCCACCCGTTTCGCCTCTCCTTCCTCGTGCCCCCCGCCTCGTCGAGGAGGGGGACGAGGGGAAGGGATGAGATCCACCGCGAGGCTGGCTACCCCCGGGCGGAACAGGGCTGGTCCGTCCAGAAGAAGGACCGGTGTCCTCGCGGGGCGGAGGATGGAGCGAGGAGGAGGGAAAGACAGTCGCCATGGGGGAAGCGGCTCCTGAAGGAATCAGGAATCGGCTCCTGAGGCTTGCCGCTGGTCTCGGTCTCTCGGGGCCCTCCACGGGCCTCGGGATTGTCAGAAAACGGCTCACTATGAAGATCTCGTCCTGTGGGAAGGCCCCAGGGTCCAGGGCCCGTTTCCCTCGGGACCCGTGTCTTTCATGCTCAAAAGGGAGGAGGTGGTGACGGGCGGGGGAGGCAGGGAGGAGGTAGGAAACGGGAACAGCATGAGGAGGGAGGAGGGATTGTGGGAGGGCATGGGGGAGGAGGAGGAGGAGGAGGAGGAGGAGGAGGAGGAGGAGGAGGACGAGGAGGAGGAGGAGGAGCAGGAGGAAGAGGAGGAGGACGAGGAGGAGGAGGAGGAGGAGGAGGGAGAGCATGATGAGAGCACAGGTGGGAGGAGGCGGAGGGAGAGGCGGCGGGAGGAGGCAGGAGTGATGAGCAGGAGGGGGAGGAGTAGGGGTGAAGAGGGCCATGGAGGGTGAAGAGGACCTGCTCAAGCTGCTTGCGCTTCCCTCCACCCCCCCGCTCACCGCGCCAGGCCAGGGGGCGCTTACCCGACATCCTCGCACCACGGTGTGGTTTGTGAGTTGCCGTCGGAGCGTTCCTGATGCCCGACCCGAGTCGGGATACTGCGGAGTCGTCGCGCGAGCCGCGGTTGTATTTGGGCCGTGTGGGTGTTCCTACTCGCCATCGTTGTCGTCACGACACGCTGGCTTCTGCTAGCAATCGTGTTCGTCAAGAGCACGACGACCGCAGCTGTGCCACGAACTGTTCGTGGCAACCGCGGTCAGGACAACAGTCGGCGGTGGCACACGGTCTGCAGCTGCGAGCACCAGACGCGGAACGACATATTGGCTCAGAGGAAGTGGTCTTGCGTCGTCCGCCAGGACATTGCACAGTGCGGGTCTCCATCGATGATGATGGCGGCATCTCAAACCTGGAAATCAATTGTTTGGATGACGGCGACTGGAGTGACGCGGACCAACGGGGGGGAGGTGGTCGCAGGTAGCCTCGAGGCCGCGACGGGCGGCACTTGCCGCTGCCGGGCGTCTTGGGAAGCCCGTGGCAGTTCTCCCTCAAGAAGCCTCGGCCGTGGTCAGGGAGGCGGTTGCTCGATTCCCGAAGGTTCAGGCTCAGACGCTTCTTGCACCACTCGAGGCCTCCCAGATGTGTCGGAGTAGATGGGGTCGGAGGATCGCGCCGTATCGCCGATGCATCGCCGATGCGGCTCGATGCGAAGCCCGATTTTCGCCACGCTGGCGTCGCCGATGCATCGGTGACGTCGGCGGTACACGGCTGATGCACAGGCGATGCATCGGCGATGCGCCGCGATCTTCCGACCACATGTATGAATCGACGGAGCAGTCAGTTTTAGGGGTGCATCCATTTTTTAGTCGAAGCCCTATCTCGACAGGTCCTCCTTCCCTTGCCGGCCGGTTCTCGAGCACCAGTGGGGGTGCGGAAGGGTATGGTGGAGCGCGGGGGTGCCAGTGGTATCTAGGACTCTGCGCCGCCGGGGGATCGTCATACTGCGCACGGCTGCTTCACGCCTGTGCTGCCTCTGGTGCATCGCCTGCACCGCGCTTGGTTAAATCCTTCGTCGGCGCCGACATTGCGACCCGCATCTCAATGGCCGGCCCTACTTGGATCGACCAGGCAGCATGAAGAGCAGCATGTCGCCATGCTCGAAGGGATTGCGCTCGAAGGGACTCCGGGAGTGTTTAGTTCCAGACGTCAAGTTCTCGTGAGCAGCATTGTTGGTTGTTGTTTTCAGCCCGCCTGGAGCCCACCGACATGCTTTTGAAACATGAACCCTGTGAGGACCATACGACGTGGAAAAGTAGCCACAAGCCACAAGGCGGTACGTACTCGTCCGTCGTACCTTACGATCTGCCATACGCGGCCCGTTTTGTTGTCTCGATGCGCACTGGGCGAAGTTACTGATCGACGACAATTGCATGACGGTCCATGATGCTGCTCGTTGCGTTTGCCGGTCCCAGAAAGGAATTGTTATTGTCCTGTTCCTTCTCCTTGACATCGCTCGGACGTGTGGAGTTCTGTCTCGGCGAGGACCATTGAAGAGCATGTTGGGTCATCGAGCACAAGAAACACGCACGGAACCGAAGCATGCAGGGGAAATGGACGTCCGAGCGACGAGAAGTCCCCATTGCTCCACATCCTCCCTACACCGAAGCCTGTAATTAATTAGCAGCGCGTCTTCCCCTGAGTTTGCTCGGGGACTGTCCGCCGGTTGGATTAGGGGCGCGTGCCTGTCCCGAGTCTAGATCATCATGCAATCCTCCCTCCAGCTATCGGAGGCGCTCCCGAGGGGAAGTGAAGGAGGGCAGGCCTTCTCAGAATGCGGCGGGGCTTCTCAGGAGCCCTCCAGCCTTCTGAGAAGCCGCTTGCGTCTTCGGAGAAGGCTTAGACAACTGTTCAGAAGGCCTAGACAACTGTTCAGAAGGCCAGAGGCCCCCCGAGCCTTCTGTGAAGGCCCGCGCATTCCCCCGTGAGCTCGCCGCCGCACCCACTTTCCTCCCCTCTGCTTCCAGCCTCTCCTCCTCTTCCAGCTTCTCTACCTCCTTTGTTCAGAGCGTGAATTACCTACCCCGCTTTCGCTTCCAGGAAAAAACAAGTCATGCCACGCGCCTCCTCGTCAAGCGACCTGACCAGTACATGCCGTAGTTTGGCATCGCTTGGCATCTCTTGGAAGCGAGGGTGGTCAAAAGCGAGGTAGGTTTGTTTTCCCCCCTATTTGTGTATTCGAAGCCCCAGAGGAGTACTGCTGCAGGACCCAGAACCTCTGCTTCGGGGCCCCGAACAGCACGGGCCGGCCATGGCTGTGCATGGAGGCGCAGGCTGCGGCGGGCCTTGCAGCCGGGGGCGGAGGACGAGGAGGAGGGACGAGGAGGGAGGACGACGGAGGCCGAGCAGGAGGAGGGGAGGACCCCCCCCCACCCCACCTCCTCCCCCTCCTCCTCCTCCTCCTCCTCCTCCTCCTCCTCCTCCTCCTCCTCCTCCTCCTCACCCTCCCCCTCCTCCTCCCCCTCCCGAGGATGAGGGACGAGGCGGGAGGATGACGGAGGACGAGAAGCAGGACGTGAACAGGAGCCAAGGACGAGGGGGACAGAAGGGGGGCGGAAGAGGATGAGTGGGGAAGGGAGGAAGAAGGGGGGAGAATGCAGAGCAGGAGCAGAAGCATGGGGGGTATGAGTATGAGCATGGATACGAGCATGGTCATTGTAAGTGGTGTTTTTGTTGCATTAAAACAGCATGCACACTGAGCAACATGACGGCCATGGGGAGCCCGCAGAAAAGTGCCACAGGATAGCCACCGCGCAAACAGAGCCCTCGGCTGGGCGGACCCTGCCCTGCCGATTGGCGTTTTGAATTCATTGATGTGCCTGTTTTCCAACACCACCATCATAAGTTGGAGGGGGGAATGAGGGGGAAAAGGAGGAGGAGGACCCCCTCCCCTTCCTACTTATGGTGGCGGTGGTGGAAGACATGCCCATCATTCATGAAACAGCAGGGGCTGGGGCCATGCACCGTACAGGACAGAACCAGATGAATCAACGTACAGCGGCCTCCGTACAGAACTGCAGCAACGAGCGGCCGATTCCCAACCAGGCACTGATATTTGATCTACCACACGGCTACACCGACAAGGGAAAGTGGACGCCGAATTGAATGCATCGATGACATCACACCGGCTGGATACGAACATCGTTGCGAATTCACTTCCATTGCATGCAATGACGTTAGCACAACACCAAGAACGCCCGTGCTCACAACCAAGGGGGCAAGTGCAGGTCCTTCGAGCCGCTGCCCACCCACTTGAAACAGTACGATCGGATGCTGGCGGGTGTGTACGTGCACAACCAGGCTCCCCACGTGGGCCCCGCACCCGAGACGGACGATGACGAAGGTGCACAGGGAATTGTAAAACACCTCCACCAAACTATTCAGCACACCCCAGCTGATTTCGCCAAAGACCCGTATCCTTTGCAATACAGCATGCCATCGAACATCTGAATTTCCCATTGAATCCTGGCTAAAACACGTCGCTCCGCCCTTAGCCGATCCATGACGTCACCAGAGAAGACCAAGGTTGCTGCGGATAGCTATCAGCACGCCGCGTTGAGGCCGCGGACCTATAATGCGCTTGAACCAAGAGGATCCGCACGCCTTGGGCCCCGTGTGTTTGTGGAGAAGGTTGGGGGGGGGACGTGAGGAGACAGAGGAGGGAGAGAGAGCGAGGAGGGTGGGGTGGGGTGGGAGGGGGGGGCACAGAGGAATGGGGGGGGGGCAACAGAGAGCAGAGGGAGGGAGAAGGTGGGGGGGGGGAGAGGATGGGGGAGGCGGGAGGGGGAGGAAGCGGGCGAGCAGGAGGAGGGGGAGGAGGTAGACAAGGCGCAGTCCAGGGCTTGGGTGGTCAAGCTCCCCCTCCTCCCTACCGCTCCCCTCCGCCCTCCCCGTGCACAACCCGCCCTCTGCATCTGCTCCCCCCTTCGTCCTCCCTCCGCCCCTCCCCCCCAGATTCCTTCGTCCATCCTGCCGCGTCCTCGTCATCGCTGTTCCACCTCGTGTTCAGCTACTCCTGCTGTTCCACCTCGTATTCAGGAGTCCTGCATCCCTGCTGTTCCACCTCGTATTCAGCTACTCCTGCTGTTCCACCGCGTCCTCGTCATCGCTGTTCCACCTCGTGTTCAGCTGCTCCTGCATCCCATTCTTCACCGCCCTCTCTCGCCTCTCCCTCCGTCGACCTCCCTCTTCGCCCGGGGGGGCCTGCAGGCTCTCTCTCGAGGCCCCCTCTGGGGGCTCCATGCGAGCTTGGCGCAGCTTCCTCGCGAGTGCTCCTGGAGACCCCCCTGGACGGCCCTGGGCTCCTGCGAGGTGTCCTGGGTCTCCTCGAGGTCGTGTCCTGATGGGCCGGCCGATTCTCCACCACTACCACCATAGGTAGCAGAGGGATGATGATGATGATGATGATGATGATGATGATGATGATGATGATGATGATGATGATGATGATGATGATGATGATGATGATGATGATGATGATGATGATGATGATGATGATGATGATGATGATGATGATGATGATGATGATGCTGATGCTGATGCTGATGCTGATGCTGATGCTGATGCTGATGCTGATGCTGATGCTGCTGTTGCTGATGATGATGATGATGATGATGATGATGATGATGATGATGATGATGATGATGATGATGATGATGATGATGATGATGATGATGATGATGATGATGATGATGATGATGATGATGATGATGATGATGATGATGATGATGATGATGATGATGATGATGATGATGATGATGATGATGATGATGATGATGATGATGATGATGATGATGATGATGATGATGATGATGATGATGATGATGATGATGATGATGCTGATGATGATGATGAGGAGGAGGAGGAGGAGGAGGAGGAGGTGGGCCTCCCCATCCTCTCTCTTCCCCCGTCCCACCCATGGCAGTGGTGATGGGAAATTGGCCCATCATGTCCTCTCCCATTCGAGCGTCCGAGCGGTGGCTCCAACGTTCCTTCCATGCGCCTGCCGTCCACCCCTGCTCCCTATAGCTGCTGTACTTCCTCTTCCTCCCTGCCGCACCCCCTCCTCCTCCTCCTCCTCCTCCTCCTCCTCCTCCTCCACCTCCTCCGCCTCCTCCTCCATTCCTCTTCTCGCTCCTCACCCCTCCCTTGTCACATCCCTCCTGCGTTCCTCCTCGCCGCACCCCCAGAGATGTCGGTAGGGCGGGCCTAGGCTTTTTTGCTCGAGATTGCCTCGCTACCCTATGACTCCGAAGCTTGAAACCTCCAACAGCTACACGGAATGGAGTACGGGGGGGGGCTCAAGCTGGAGTTCTTGCCTCAGCGCCGCTCGCAATCGATCTTACAGCTTGTACTATATTCACGGATGGAAGGGGATAAATTCAACATGGGTTTCCGCCTTAGCGCTGGACGCACCGCGGATTGTAATGGAGAGGGTGCCGTTCCCGAAATGGGCCGACTCGCGGCGCTCTCGTAGTCGGGTGTTGGCCGGCGAATGGTCGTGGTTAGATGTGTTCTGTTATTTTCCTCCCTACCCCCTTCCAGCCCTCCCTCCTGCACCTTGCGCTCCTCATTTGTTATGTGCTCGATTGCGCTCTCTCTCTCTCTCTCTCTCTTCCTTTCCAGTTGCTCTCGCCCGTCCCGAAGCGAACTCGGCGCGTCGTCATATGGATTCGCGACTCCTCCTTCTCGTCTTCCTCCTTCTCCTCCTCCTCCTCCTGCCCCGAGGGTGGGGGCCTGGCACCAGTTCTCATGGTGTCAGCGCCACACACTCCTCGGGGCTCGCCGTCAGAGTCGACTACATGCGGTGACTGGGGGCAGCTGAACCGTCTCGCGCCTTTTAGAACCAGCCGCGTGGCATTTTGCCTGTGGCAGCGGCGTTAGCCACGCTCCGTGACCTGGAGATGGGTACCAGGCTCGGGGGATTGCGCAGTTGGTTGAGAGGCGGGGCCATGTGGCCCGTAAACCCCATGGTGGCCGTGCGCCCGCTTTCCCTGGGAAACAAACCCAGTTGCGCATACCAGCCGATTGGGCAGGGGTTGAGAATCGGGAAGTGCCTCGCAGTGACGAGGTGAACCGATCGTCCCCCTACGCACCACGCCCTCTCGGCTGGAGGCAAATCGTTGGGCGACAAGGTAGCTGCCTATCCCCTGCTCGTCGGTGCGCGCGCTTTCGGGCCCGCTACCTCCCGCAAGGGGGAAGCCGGGGGCGCCAATTGCCTGCCATTGCGGCCCGCCTGCGTGCGGTGTGCGCCGTGCACTTCCTGGGCCCATGACGCCATGACTCCTCTTCTTCCTCCTCCTCCTCCTCCTCCTCCTCCTCCTCCTTCTCCTCCTCCTCCTCCTCCTCCTCCTCCTCCTCCTCCTCCTCCTCCTCCTCCCACCTTCTTCCCGTCGTCGCACTGCCCGCGATCGAGGCCGGAGGGCCTCCAGCGATCCCCGTCATCCCACGCCCTGCCGCGCAGGCGAAGAAGCAGGGCGCCGACATCTCGGTCGCCCTAGGGCGGCAGGACGACGTGGGCTCGGCGGAGGTCGGAGCAGAGTGCCGCGACCAGGAGTCCGGGAGGTCTCGGGCACCCGGAGGGAGGGGGGCGGGGGGGCGGGGGGCGAGGGTGAGGGGGGGGAGGGGGAACGAGAAAAAGGACAGGGACGGAGGAAGGGAGAAGGAGGAGAAGGAGGAGGGGGAGGGGGAGGAGGAAGAGGAGAACGAGGACGAGAAAGAGGAGGGGGAGGAGGAGGGGGGGAGGAGCAAAAGGAGGGGGAGGAGTGATGGGGGGTCGGAAAAGGGTGATGATAGGGGACGTGGTGTGCAAGCGTTGCTTGCCGTTTGTCCCTCTGTAGGCTTTGATTGGACCTCTAAAGTTCGCGGGCGTTTTTTGGAAGAGGTTTCTGAGGGATGAGGAGGAGGAGGAGGAGGAGGAGGAGGAGGAGGAGGAGGAGGAGGAGGAGGAGGAGGTGCCATGACACTTCCCCCAGGGGTCGTCAGGAGGTATTCGACACATTCGGACGGGGAAGGAGCACTTGAACGAACAATATGAGGAGGTATTCGACAAATTCGGACGGGAGGAGGAACAGCTGGAGGGTGGTAACCTTCCCGGACAGGTCTCTGAGAGCTAAGAAGGGTTCGTATTCGAAGCCAACTGCGCAGGGTAGCCTGGGAGGTCTTTCCGGCGCCAAACAAGCAACGCCACAGCGGCCACTGTGAGCCGGCACCGCGTCCCGAAGGCGTTTACCTGCTCGTTCCCAGTACCCGTGCCGTAAGCCGTTCCGCAGATCCTTCGGTGTTCCTCCGAGTTCCTGCGAAGCTCATTATTTTGAGCACGCAAGCTCTCCGGGCATCCCTTCAAGCGGTCCTTGCGAGCTCCTCCGAGGCTTCCGCGCGCGCTTTTGACTGCGCCGCTGGCCGGGCCGTGGGCGCCAGAAGTAAGACATGTGCCGGTGCATCTGGACGCCCGAAATGGGTAGGGAAAGAAGGGGTACAATGCCCAAGAGCAGTTCCTGTTCATTTTGAACAGGACTCGCTGTCCGCGCCGCCGCGGCCCGTGCCCATTCGAGACCGAGGGCCGCCCGCCCAACAGCGGCCGCTGTTTGTTCGGGACAACATTCGCTGCTGGGCATTGTGCCCATTCTTTCCGTGCCCATCTCGGGCGCACAAATTCAGGAGCGTAAGAAGGACGTACACGTACATGAATCCACGCTGTTTTCGAGATTTCGCATTGGGCGAATATTCGTATCACGCGGCCGGTCTCGCGGGTCAAGGGGCCGCGTTCATGTACATAGCTGGGCGCGTACGTCCTTGGTGGGCCCCCTACAAGTGAGAGCCGCGATCACGAGCAACCGCAGGACGCAAAGACATGGCACCGCGACGACGCCGAGCGTCAGGACGCGAGCTCTCGGACGCGGCGGCCCGTGCCGGCACCCCACGCCGAGTCCGCGCGCAGTGCTGGCTCGGGCGGCCGGGGGGCCTCCGGCCCTCGAGGGGGCCTTTGTGGGGCGCAGGCCACCCCGGCAGCGAAGCACCCCAGCAAGCAGTGGCGAAACGTCCTGGCCTTTGTAGGCCCCGGAAACCACGGCAAAAAAACGGCGACCGGAAATGGCAAAAAAACGGCTCCAGGATTGGAACCGGAGCTGGAACCGGTCAAAAAACGGCGACGGAACCGGTAAAACAACGGCGTCGGAACTGGCAAAAAAACGGCAAAACGGAACCGTTTACAAAAACGGCCCTGTCGTTTCCAGGGCCCACTAAGGTCCTGGCTCGCCTATGGCCCCACCAACCAATGTTCGAAGAACCTTTTGTGGTTTCCACGAGATGCTCTTGGAGCATTTCTGGCGCGGTCTGTCTTGTTTGGTTTCGCATTGGGCTTATAATTTGAGAACATGGTTCTTGTGCTTAGAACATCTTTGGGTTCTAGGAACATCTCGTGGTAGGGCTATAGGAATGCCGGGACGGTCGGTCCCTGCTCAACCCCAGTTCCCGAGGGGATGCCCGGATGGCTTCCAGAGCACCCTCACGAGGCTTGGAAGGCCCCCCTCTGGTTTCTTTACAACAAAAAAAACTCTATACACCCAAGGGCCAAGTTCAAGCAGAAGAGCGAGGCGAGCACCTCTGCAGGCTAGAGGGCCCCCCTCTGGGGCGGTCCAGAATCGCGCGAGAGGAGCCGAGGACGTCCGGGGCCAAGGCACACCTCTGGCAGCCCACGCGGCTCCTGCCGCCAGGCTCTTGCACGACGCCCCCTGAGAGGCCGATTGCCAAGCACCACTACCGTAGGAAGGAGAGGAAGGAGTGAGCTGGAGGAGGAGGAGGAGGAGGAGGAGGAGCAGGAGCAGGAGGAGGAGGAGGAGGAGGAGGAAAGGAAGAGAAGGAGGAGGAGGAGGAGGAGGAGGAGGAGGAGCAGGAGCAGGAGCAGGAGCAGGAGGAGGAGAGGAAAGAGGACGATGAGGAGGAGCAGGAGGAGGCGGAGGAGGAGGAGGAGGAGCAGGAGGAGGTGGAGGAGGAGGAGGAGGGGGCGCCTAGCGGCTCGCGGTGGGTTGACTGGTGTGTTGATTACTAGTTTGGGCCGCTTGGAGCTTCTGACCAAGTTTGGGCTGACCAAACCAACAGTAGAAGAATGAGCGGTCTGGGCAGAGTGTCAGACAGCGTCGCGTCGCCAGGTGAGCGAAGCGGCTGGAGGCTTCGATTCGGACCGTCCGGAGCTGTAGGCTCCCTAGTTCTTTCGAGTTTGATTCCCAACTATCATGTGGTGTTGGGTCTTCGTCTTGAAGATACGACGGTCTCCGCGTTCCTCCTCCCTCCTTCCTCCCTCTCCTCCCTCCTCTCCGTCCCTGGCGGGCTGCGATCTGCGACACTGTCGCCACTTTCGAGGGCTGCTGGTGGGTCCTGCGGAGTGAGGCACCGCGGGGAACTGAGCGAGACCTCGCCGTCCCTGGGGGGCTGCGATCTGCGACGCTGTCGCCACTTTCGAGGGCTGCTGGTGGGTCCTGCGGAGTGAGGCACCGCGGGGATCTGAGCGAGACCTCGCCGTCCCTGGGGGGCTCTGGAGAGTTTCTGTTGGATACGTTACGCGCAACGGGCGCATGGCGTAGCCAACGGGGGTGATTTGTGAAACAGAGCATCTGCTGGGCGATGGCCATAACGTTGCGCCTGCACGTATCCCGCGGGGGCTCTCACGCGCTGCTGTGGGATACGTTGGGTGCAACGGGCGCAGGGCACAGCCAACGCGGGTGTTTTGGTATTACGTAGCCCTTAGATCTTGATCGGGGGCCTGCGAGCCTTCCGATTGCTGCTCGCAAAATCGCATGCGTCCATGTTACGTCATCGCCCGCGTTGTAGCAATCCAGATGTACTTATGCCCCGCATTGCGCAAGGGTTGGGTACGTCACCAGGGTAATTGGAGTATGTTTTTTTTGTTCAATGGTTTGTCAAAAATTTCCGCCTGTAGCGGGACATGCCCGACCGAACCCTTCCCCGGACCCGCTGCCGCCCCCTCCCTTCTTTTTTGGTTCGCTCCTGCCGCCGGGCAACTCGCGATGCCGCTGCCCAGCTTGTTCGAGCGCGCGTGCGGACTGCCCTGCCGCACCGCGACGCCCAGCGGAAAAGCGTGCTGCCAGAGGGTGCCCCGTCCAGCCCCCGCCCGCACGGCACAGCAAGCCAGGGGGGGGCCGTCGTCGCGGGGCCTCTGCGTGCCAAGGCGGGGCCCAGGTCTCGGCGGGCGGCGGCCTCCTGGCCAGGAGAGAGCCCGTGCGAGGTGCGGGCCCCGGGGCGGCGCTGCAGAAGCCTGGTGGTGGACAGCTCCCTCTCGCTGCAGGAGGAGCGGTGCAAGTTTCTGAACACCGGCGGCGGCATGTCGAGGAACAAGCTGGGCAGTTTGGACTACTGTGTCGACCCGTACAGCGAGTTCTTCGTCGAATTGATGGCGTGTTTCAATTTTGCCGGAGACGTGGTTTCTTTTGATGGTAGCTGCATCGCGTGCTACAGCCCATACGTTTGCCTGCTCAAGCCCACTCCAGACAATAAGGCCACCTTTGATTACAATGGAAGTACGGAGGAGTGGGAGGCCTTCATTGGCGAACAAGGCAGGTCTTGGACGGACATGTTCATGACGCCTCACATTAGCTACAACCTGACGATGGAAGGGCAGTGCAAGTGGAAGCGCGACGACTTCGACGCGTTCATCGGCGTGACCAGGGAAGCCCAAAAGCTGGCCTTACAGAAAGCGAGGGAAGCATCGGGAGGAAGCGCCAGCGACGACGCGCCCTCCGAGGGCTACATGTGGGCGGACCCTGCCTCAAGGATTCAGTTGCGCTGTCGCACAAAGTTCCGCCAGCGTGATGGGTCAAACAACGCAAAAACATCGAGCATCCTGGGCTGGAGCGATGCGGTGTGAGGACCTCTTGCGAGCCTCTTGTGCGCTTCTTCCGGGCCCGTCGAAGATTTCTGAGCGCTGCATTTGGCGGTTTTGGGGCTTTGGAGGGTCTGTGGGGCACGGTGCTGACGATCGTTTGGCAGGTCTTGTGCTGCCGCTGGGCGGCTGTGGGGCCGCCCTGGCCCAGCTTATGTTCAGGACAAACACACAGACACAGCTAATTAGAGATTCCCCAGAAAATATAGGAAAATATGGGAAGTGGGGGGGAAGACAAAATCCCAGAAAATATTGGAAAATATACGGAATATTTTTATTTGTGTGTATTTATTTGTGTGTCCTGGGGCCCCTTCATATCTCGCGCTCATGGGCTGTGTTTGGGGGGTCCCGGGCCGTCTCGGGGGCCCGGGCAAGGCCCTCCGGGGGGCCTCCCAGTCTGCCAAGTCGCCGCCCGAACTCAGGAGGGAACAAAAACACACGGGCACAATCAATCGTCGATTCCCCAAAAAATATAGGAAAATATGCGAAGTGGGGGGAAGACAAAAACCCAGAAAATATCAGAAAATATGGAGAATCCTTTTATTTGTGTGTATTTATTTGTGTGTCCCAGGGCCCCTTCACTAACCGCCCGCGGCGGCCCGAATGCCACTCGGGACCCGACCAGCTGCAATCTACGGCCCGCCCTGGGCGTCCAAGCGACACTATTCGAAGGAGTGCGCTCCCAATGGGCTTGCCTCCAGGTTTTTGCCCCTTCTCGCGAAATTGGGCTTGCATGCGTGGCCTCCCCATGTAGTCTGGTCTCTAAGCAGCCCGATGTCATCCACAGCGTCGGGTGGAGTTACGATGAGCGCATCCTTTCATCATCATCATGATTCTTCTTCTTCAACATCATCATCATCATCAGCATCATCATCATCATCCCCATCATCATCATCATCATCATCATCATGATTATTATCATCATCATCATCTTCTTCATCTTCGTCTTCATCTTCATTTTCATCTTCATCTTCATCATCATCATCATCAGCATCAGCATCAGCATCATCAGCATCAGCATCAGCATCAGCATCAGCATCAGCATCAGCATCATCATCATCATCATCATCATCATCTTCATCATCATCATCAGCATCATCATTATGTTCGGTCGCGACTGTGGTGTTACAATGCTGGCGGAGTTGGAATACATGTGACCGTTCCGCCTCCATATTTACCGGAATGGCTCTGGTGGGTCCGATGGCTATGAGCCTCGAGCGCCCCGATCGGATGTTTCCTTGCACGCTAGTTTGCTTCATTATTTGCCTGACGTAGTGTATCATTGCAATACAGTTTGCTACCTTCCAGCTTCCTCGTTCGCATATGCTGTTTGCTGGACTTCTCAGAAGCCCTCGCGGCTTCTGAGCAGATTCCTGCGTCTTCGGGGAAGGCTTAGGAAACTTCCCAGAAGGCAGGGGGGATTGCGAGCCTTCTGAGAAGGCCTTCTCCTTCTCACTTCCCCCCCGCGCACGCCGCCACTCTAGAGCGCAGCAGAGGGGCCTGTGGCAGCCCTATACACTGCAGCCCGCGGTGGTGGATTTCTTTCGAGACGGAGGTCACCATGTACGTGAACCCGAACGTGGCATCCGAAGAGTACATCCGGCAGAACGACAGGTTCCGGGAGGCCATCCTCGGCGTCGTCTTCGACGTCAGAAGCTGCGAGGAGCAGCTCCAGTTCTTGGACGGGGAGGAGTACAGGGTGATTGGCGAGGACGGGGCGAACTACACCAGCGCCAGGGAGCGCTGCGCCGCCCTGCTCCAGGGAGAGGCAGAGCCCGAAGATGCGGAAATCGCTGCGGCGGTGGACGGTGCGGCCAACCTGGCGAGGCTGCACTACATGCAGCGGCGCCAACCTGCTCGGCGACTGCTCGTCGCCGGCGGCGCTGTCGGCGACGAGTGCGTCACCGACGCCGAGTGCCAGGACCCGCTGAAGTGCGCCGCCTCGGAGGAGAGCTCTGGCTCGGGCGCCCCCACCTGGGAGTGCCAGGAGCCAGTGGCCGCGGTGTTCCGGTTCACGCCGTCCACATCTTTGGCGCCGCACCCGGACATCGCAGGCGTGTAGAAAATTTGGGCTTCAGAGACGGGGGTCAATGCAAACGGGGGTCAATCAGAGTGCCGGATCTTGCAGGATCCTGCAGAGCCAGGGTTGCACTGACCCAGGCTTGGGTACAGGATCTCTAGGGAAACCAATGACATAAACATACAAATTCTGAGGTCCGCGCGGATATCTCGGATCCGCGCTGGGCCCTCCCTGGCGGCGCCGGAGGCGCCGCCCCTGGCGCGCTCTGCAGATCTGCAATTCTTCCTTCCCTTAATCTTGCAAGATCCTGCAGGATCTTGCAGTATGCTGCAGGACCTGATTGACCCTGGTCTGGATTGACCTGGGCCAGTAAGCTCCCGAGGAATGGGGGATTGAGATCTACGGTGGCAGTGGAGCAACCACCTCACTGTGTCCTGCTCGCCCTCTCACGCCGCAACAGCTACTATCAAGTCGGGCCTGTCCCTCTACAGGAGGCAAATTCAACAATCATCAAAAACAGTCGGGGGACGATTATTTGATGATTTTTGACAACTCATGAATATGTTTTGACTACTCGCATTTTTTCGCGTCGACAATCCGCCTGTAGGGGGACATGCCTGGACATGCCCGACCTAAAGAGCTAATAGCGCCCCCCCCCCACCCCCGGATCCAGCACCCGCTAGGACACGTGGGAGCCGGCGGGCGGCAGGAACTTGGACCCCAATGCGGTCTTCTCGTATCAGAGCAGCGGGTTGGAAGATGGTCAGGGCGGCGACGGCGGAACAAACGGAGCGAGCGACGACGAAGGCGAGGGCGGCGAAGACGGAGGAGATGGCCATGGCGGAGAAGATGGCGAGGGCGGCGACGGCGGAATAAACGGAGCGAGTGATGACGGTGGCGAGGGTGGCGAGGATGGCGGAGGTGGAGCGGATGGCGAGGGTGGCGGAGGCGGAGCAGAAGGTGGCGGTGGCGAGGGCGGAGAAAGTGGCGACAATGGCGGGCATGAAGCAGAGCATGATTGCGAAGACGGACAGCAGGAGCACTGGGACGAGGCCAAGAGCATCTGGTGTTGCGACCACGCCAACAAGGGCTGTTTCAAGCAGTCGTCCGGGAGATAGTACGCGATGTGTTCGCCTGGCCATGAGTGCTAAGCCTGTCATGTCCGCTGCTTTTCTGCTTCGCCTATGAGGGCTCTGTTGACTGCGCGCTGCCGACAGATCTTGTACAGAATTGTGGCAATGCCGTCCAAAGAAGGCGGTAGTTAGCCCATAGTGTTGCATGCTGCCTGGCTCTGGCTGTCGTGCGACAGACGGCTGCACCACGCGTGCTCCAGCCGCGCGGCCACTCCAGGCCGACTCTGCCGTGCTGCTGCGCAGCGCCCCCCCCCCCGTTGCTGCCCGGCGAGGTCGGGAAGCTCCGCCGCCACGAGCAAGCCAGCCGGGTGTGCTCCCCGGGCCGTGGCCGCGCGCGTAAAACGCTCCCCCCCCCCCCTCTCGCTGCCCTCCCTCGCGACCCGCGGCGCCCATGCCAGCTTCAGGCGCCTGTTAAGAACAAGAGAACCCCGAACCACAATCCAAGACGCCCGCGGCGAACCACCGCCGCTCCCTGCCTTTCAGGATTTGCCTATGTGGCCAAACGTTTTGGCAAAGCTTGGCCACCCGATTGGGCCATGCATTCCCCCAGCCGGTGTGGAAGCCTTTCGAGAAACATGTTGGGAGGAAGCGGAGGATCAGGAGAGGGAGGAAAAAGGAGTATGAGGTATGTTCTTTCCTCCCTTTCTTCTCCTCTGCCCCCTCGCTCTCCCCTCCTCGTCTCTCGTCCCCTCTCCTCCTCCTCTTTCCTCCTGTCTCCGTCCTTCCACGATGTCATCCTTTGAGTGCGCACCTCTACCAACTTCCCCTGGGGAAGGGCGCAGAATGGGGATCGCGGAAGGGGGCAGGAGGAGGAAGAGAAGCAGAACGAAGGAGCGGCAAGATAATGAATTCCACCACCTTCTTGAAGTCCGACTCAACGCCTCACCCTGTGGATGTACAAGTTATGTCTCACTATGCCCCATTGTTCATTCCAGATGTGACAGCATACGATCCCAGCCCAGTTGATATCGGCCACGCCATCCCCAGCAACAACCACTATGCGCGCACATGCGTTTATCAAAGACCACCAATGTCGCAAAACACAGTGCAAGCGTGAGACGAAGTGCACATTCGCTCGCGTCGTCGCGCGCGCATGCCTTAACTCCTGATGCAAAACCATAGGTGATGCAAGGATTATAACACATAATGTCAACCAACACATCAAACAAGCAAACCTGTTTTTTCCAGCGTGACGTTTCAACAACAGGTGTGTTCTCGCACTCTCTCGAGTTCTTGAGCGAAGCAGCCTTTCTCTACATGTCATCAACTTCGGCCAAGCGCACCTCTCGCGCGCGCATGTCGAAATCATTCGAACTCCATGGCGCGCGTGCTAGAGAAGGCGCGATCCTTGTCAATTAGAGCCATGCAGGCCACCCGCGCCCGTCGGCGGCGCGAGCATGTCGAAAATTCTCACAACTTCCATCACGGACACGTGGACAGCATCATCGTCGCCGGCGTGATCAGCATTGGTACCGTCATTGGCCTTGCCGTCGTCATCGAATCGTTTTCACCAGCGTCGCTGCAACCGTCATCCTGTGCCGTTGTCGACATCGCCATGATACAGCGCCCGCCCGAGTCACCCACTCGCACGGAGGTGCCCGCGCGTCAGCGCGGTTTGCGAGACCTGCTGGGAAGTCCCAGGCGGTCAACGCCACCGCGGCCGCGTCGGTCGCGCCAGACTAGTTGGCCGCTCTGCGCGCGAGCCTGCGCGCGCTAGCGCGGCCGCAGCGATGTGCCAGCCAATGCCAAGCCGTCATCGCAATCGCCGCCGCGTGGGTTATGCAAGCCAAGTTGCGGGTGGGTGGGTGGGATGATTGCGCGAGCAGTGGGGTTGACAAGCGCATGCGGTTAACAATCTATTGTGCCACATGTGGTTCTTGTTCTTGAAAAAGAATGAGGATCTACCTCCCCCCCGGACTGAACGGTCCATCTTTTCGTTTTGCAACACACATCTGATTCTGCCCCATCGCCCATCCGAAATATGACTTCGTACCATCCCAGGCAGGCCGGTATCGGCCCCTCGTTGATTCGTGTATCAACCGGCAGCAGTTTACACATATCCCGTGCAACAAATGGGACGAAGCGCGCACGCGCGATTCGTCGTGCGCACATGCCCATATATTTCAAACACCAGAAGTTTCGGACGGATTGCAAAACCGATAGTCACGAAGACCTGAATGTTTAAAAGGGTTGTGCAACAAGGGTTTTCAAAAGAAACCTGCGCCCGCAGTCGCACGACATCTTGAAAACAAACCACGCGTTTTTATGTTTGTATACCGTTTCCAAACTAGCCTCTCGCGCGCGCATGTCGAAATCGTTCGAACGCCTTTACCCGCGTGCTGTCGAAAAAATCCCTTTCAACGCGCGCGCGTCGTCGCGCGCGAAGGCCGATATCCCTCAGACGCCACAGGGGTCGTAGAAGTTCCCCCCCAAAAAAAGAACGAGTGTCCGACAACGTAGTAAAACACATCGTTTTGCTACATCAGTTTTCACAGGATCATGCGCTCGCGGTCTGTGTCAAATACTCACACGCGTGGCACTTGCGAGCGTCGGCCGCGCGCGCATGTCGAACTCCAAAAACCGTCATCACCGACGCGAGGACACTGTCACCGCTATTGGCGGGCGTGATCAACTTTGGCGACGACATTGGCCTTGCCGTCGTCATCGCCACCATCGCCAACATCATCGCTACTTTCATAATCGTGTCTACCGCTGTTGGCGTCGCCATGATGCCGCGCTCGTCCAATTCACCGACCTGCACGGAGCTGCCCGTTGGGAAATGCCCAGCGGTCATCGCCGCCGCGGCCACGTCGGTCGCGCCATACTAGCGGACCGCTGTGCGCGCAAGCGTGCGCCGGCGTAGCGAGGTCGCAGAGGTGCACCAGCCAACGCAAAACACTCATCGCAATCGCCGCCGCATGGGGTTTGCAAACCAGAATGCTGGTTGTTGGGTGGGATAGTTGCATTGGCGTGGAATGTGCCAACTCATCTGCAACAGAAATATTTGCCCCACATACACTGCACAACATTTGATACTAGAAACATATTGTTTTGGGCCCGCGTTGGTTGACGTGCTGTCATCATGACCTTTCGGGGGGGGGTTGCGCTGCTTTGTTGGACCGCCGTTTGACCTCCCCCCTTGGCGCGCGGAGCGCGCCAGGGGCAACGCTGGAAACGCCCACAGAGATATCCAGCGCGGATCCAACAAAATCCGCGCGGAGGTCGGACATGCGATCTCATGCACCTGTTCGTCCTTTAGGACACGAGCTGGCGTGAACCTGGTTTGTGGGGACTGCGGGGCTGCTTCATTGCACGATTGGACCGGTCGCCTCACTGCCCGCCCATGCGTTCGCGCGCGTGGCCACGCCGAGGACCGACGCCCTGACGCAGCGCGGGGTGTCCCTCGGGATTTCGCTGCCGCCGGCTTTCCATCCTTCGCCTCCCGTTCCTCCTCCATGTCTTCCGTCCCCGATCCTTGCCTCGTGCCTCCCGTGGCCACGCCCACACCCCACACCCCCCCTTCTCCCCTTGCCTTCTCTCGGTTCCCTCCTCCGCCCTCCGCCTTCGCGCCTCCGTCTTTCCTCCTCCGCGTTCCCTCCCTCCGCCCGCCGCCCTTTTCCCTCCTCATCACCTTTTCCTCCCTGAGGGCGGTCTTGATGCGCTCTTGGGCCGTCGTGGACGCCCTGAAGACCGAAGCGGAAAGGGTGCGAAAGCCTGCTACGCATTCTGTTTCGATGATTTCGGCCTCCCGGGCTGGCCCCGAGAGCCGTCAAAACGGCCTGGGGACAACCTCATTTTCTGCGCCTTCGGTAGGGCCTGCCTGCGGCAAGGTGCCACAACCAGAGCGGTGAAGGAGGAGGAGGAGAACGACGACGACGAGGACGACGAGGACAATGAGGAGATGGAGGAGGGGAGGAGGAGGAGAGGAGGAGGATGAAGAGGAGGAGGAGGAGGAGGAGGTGGAGGAGGAGGAGGAGGAGGAGGGAGGGAGGGAGGAAGGGGCAGGAGGAGGACGAGGGAGGAGAAGCCGGAGGGAGCAGGAGGCGGAGTAGGGCGGGGTGGAGAGGTTGGGGGGGGAGAAGGCGGGAGGAGGAAAATGAGGAAGAGAGGTGGCGGGACGTGGTAAGGGAGGGGGGGGGAGGACCGAGGGGGGGAAGGACGGCTGGTAGAGAAGACCACAATGCCCCCCCCCCGTTGAGGCTGGCGCCTCGGAGTCGGAGGGCAGATCTGACACCCTCGGCGACCCCGTCAGCGCCCCTGGCGGCGGCCCCAGCGGCGGCAAGCGCGGCCGAGCTCGTCGCGTGCCCGCCCCCCTCCCTCCTCTTCCTTCCTTTGCTTTTCGAGCCTCCAGCTTGACAGGGCGCCGCGGTGTGCGATGACGCTTTGGAATACTACTACTACTACTACTACTACTACTACTACTACTACTACTACTACTACTACTACTACTACTACTACTACTATTACTACTACTACTACTACTACTTACTACTACTACGACTACTACTACTACTCCTACTCCTACTACTACTACTACTACTACTACTACTACTACTACTACTACCACTACTACCACTACTACTACTACTACTACTACTACTACTACTACTACTCCTACTACTACTACTACTACTACTACTACTACCACTACTGCTACTACTACTACTACTACTACCACTAACAATACTAACAATAATAATACTAATAATACTAATAATAATAATGATAATAAGAATAATAATCATAATACTAATAATATTAAGAATACTAATCATAATAATAATAATAATCATACTAATAATAAGAGAAATAATACTACGATTAATAATAATAGTAGTACTAAGAATAACACGAAGAAGACAAATAGTAATAATACGAAAAATAATAAGAAACATAAGAAGAAGAAAAAGAATAAGAAAAAGAAGAAGAAGAAGAACTGTGCCGAGACGACGGGCGCGCCTCGGGCCCCTCGGCCCGACCCTGCGCGAACTCCCCCCCCACCGCTGCCTGTGCATGTGCGGGTCGAGGGGCGTGCACAACGTGGCGGCCACCTCAGGCGGCAGCCTGCCAGACGTTCCGGGGTGCTCGGAGGGGGGGCGAGGGGGGAGGGAGGGAGGCCAGAATGCACTCCGCCAGCAGTCAGTCAGAGCCCCGAACCATCAGGGGTAACTCGGGTCAGGGCTAACTCGGGTTCGTTTTTCGGGAATCCGAATCCGAGTTACCCCGGACCCGAGTTACCCCGGATACTTCAGGCGTCCAGAGCCCCACATCATCAGGGGTAATTCGGGTCAGGGTTAACTCGGGTTCGTTTTTCGGGAATCCGAACCCGAGTTGGCCGAGGCTGTCCCGTTCGTCCGGAGAGTCACCCGTCCCCGGCAGCCCGAGGCCGTCTCTCGGAGTCGAGCCCCATCGAGGGCCATGTGGCCGAAGACGTGGGAGCATCTGCCTAGACACGGGAGCCTGGGGCGTGAATTGGGAGCAAAGTGTGAGGTCGGGCACGTCCTTCCACAGGAGGAATATTCAAACATAGGCAAAACAAATGATGGGGACTATTTTTTGCTAATTTTGACAATTTGTTGTTGCTTTTGATTGCTGTTACGTTTCATCCAGCATCCGCCTGCAGGATGACACGCCCGACCGAAGCCTAGACACGAGAGCCTGCCCAAGACCTCCCCCACGCTTGGGACGTGAATTGTGAGCAAAGTGGTGGGCTTCTCGTTTGGAGCACTGAACTCACATTGGTGAACGTTTTTTTATTCATTATTTTGCCGATCGGCGCGGGCCCTCGCACCTGGCGCGAACGGGTTCTTACTGCAAGCCCCCCACTCATCACGGAGCGACGCCAGTTCATCCTCGGGCTTTGCGTCTCATGAGCGCGGGAATCGAATTATGTGCGCCAGCATACGAACGTATGCCGTATGCGCTCGCATCGAAACAGTGATTTGTATGCGTGGGGCGAACCGAGTGTCGACAGCGTTTGGCTCGAACCGAGCTTCGCATGCGCCTCCCGTGAGCGGCACGCACGCATGTTTCGCGTTAAGCAGGATCTGCCGCTCTGCGCTGGCACTGCGCATCCGCACACCAGCCAGGAGGGGAGGTTGTCAGAGGGCAACAACATATGTACATGTACGCGGTTCGTTTTCGTCGAATTGCGTTTGAACGTGGAGGTTCGTGCACGCAAGACCGCGGAGGGCGTACCTGTACACATGTCGTTGCTCGCTCAGGTTGGGTGTTTGAGCTAGCGGCTTAGCTTCGACCGGGAAGAGGTGCGCTCTCGACCCGCGGATCAAACATTGAGCTAGCGGGGGGGGGCCCAGCACTTGCTCCAGCACGCAGGGAGTGGGGAGAACGGGGGGCTCCTCGTCGCCACTGCTGGGCGCGGCTCCACGAACTTGGACGTTTCGACTGGGACGGGTCCGGGGGCCGATTTTGAGAGGATTTGCTGTCGCCCTCCCCCCCCGCCCTTCGGGGGCCCATGCAGCGCATACCCCCTGCCGGCGGCGCCCTCGTGCCAAGCTCGAGCCAGAGCACCCATTGGTGCCATGGAGGGTGGGGCGGTGAGGCTGCAGATGTCAGGGTGTCAGAAGCAGGCCCTCCCACCGCCGTTTCCGAGGTGTGGACGACGCGGCGGCCTCGCGGGCAGGCTCACGTGGGCCCTCGTACCGGTCGAGAAGACAGGCGCGCTTGCGGCGGGGGGGTGGGGGTTCGGCGCGATCTCGCGGTCGGAACGCCCCGGCAAGCCCCCACTGGCAGGCGATGGGGGCACTGGGTAACGAGGAGGGGCTGGCGATCCGATGCGGCCCCATGTGTGCTGGCTCTGTGCATGGCTCTGTTCTGCTCTGTGCGAGCTCGATTCCGTGCAGATGCACCCCGACCCGACGCAGATGCCGATCCGATGCTGACCGATTCCGCGAGTTGTGCTCGAAGAGGGACTGTCTCTTCCCAAGTTCCGAGGGGGTCATAATTCTTGACGCTGCGCGTATTCCCACCAGGCGCCTTGCCGGTCTGACGCCTCATCTGTGATTCTACAGCCCAGACAACGACGCTTTCTGGCGAGCAGCTTTAATTCACCCTGGTGTTCCATCTGGGTCTCGCACGTGTGCAGCCTGCAGCCCCAGCAGCTTGCAGTTGTTGTTGTTGTTGTTGGGGGGTATGCACGCCCGGACGGCGGCCCCCGCCGACCTAATAACAGACGAAGCGTACAGGCCGACACGAGATACCCGCCAGGAGGAAGGGGGAGGCGGAGCAGGAGGAGGGGGAGGAGGGGGAGGAGGAGGAGGGGGAGGGGGAGGGGGAGGAGGAGGAGGAGCTTCCCCACCCCTGGTGCCACAGCTCAGCTTCGGCCAGCTGACCACCCAGCGGTAGGTTCTGATCGAGCGCTCGGTATCGCGCCTTTTTGCTTGCTTGTCGCTGTATGATTTGTAGGGGCCGCGCCCCGGACTTACTTGGACGGCGCCTGCGCTCTCGCTTGCGCCCGCGACCAAAAAACGTATTCCCACCAGATCTGCCCCGCTGCCTTCGCTTAGTTCGCCTCTGCGTAGCCCGCTTTGACCTGACTCGCCGCCGGCGCGCTCGCCCGCGGCCGCTGACTACAAAGTATTCCCACCAAGTTTCCCAGGGGTGACCTCTGACGCCGCATGCGCCTCCGCTTGCGGCTGCGACGGAAAAAGTACTCCCACCAGTTTAGTGCGTGCTCTTGGGTAATTAGGTTTGGCTGGTAGCCTGGGCTGACTGCGGACGCCGCCTGCGCTTCCGCTTGCGGCCGCGACCGAAAACATCAAAATCCCCGCAGCCCATCCAGAAACGATGCCCATGAGAGTTGTTAGGGGGAGAGAAGGAGAGACACGCATCGTCAAACAGCGAGGGAAGCTTGGGAGGCTCCGTGGCCATGTCGAGCCGTCTTGGAGCGGTCTTGGGGCCGCTTGGAGCATCTTGGGAGCCATCTTGAGCCAGCTTGGGCTATCTGAGCCATCTTGGAAGTCATCTTGGGCTCTCTGAGGCCGCTTCGGGGCCTCGTGGGGGCCTCTCGGGTGCCTCTTGGAGGGCTCTTGGGGCTTTTTGGGGCGCTCTTTGGGTCCTCTTCGGAGCCTCCTGGGGGCCCTGGAGGGCGTCTCGGGGCCATCTTGGACGCGATCGGTCCAAAGAGTGGGGGTACTAGATTTGCGTCCCCCCCTCGGGGGCCACGATCCTCATGAGAGGTGGAAAAACATGGCCCTCCCAGGGGCTGAAGAAGGAGCCTCCGACACATCGCGACCCCCTCCCAAAAACCCTCAGGGAGAGAGCTCCCCTCCCCGAAGGGTAGAGAGGCTGTGGAAGAGGCAAGTCCCTAGCAATGTTCGCAAATCCTGCCGCCCAGAATACTTCAACTTCGGCCTCCAAGGGTCTTGCGTCCTTACCACGCGTCCTCACCATACGTTTTCACTGTGCTCAGATCCACCGCCTGCTGGGGTCCCAGGGCGTCGGCTCCCGAGGCGGCGGACGTGGAGAGAGACCCCGCCCCGCACAAAGGTTCCCCTGGCTCGCAGCCCAAGAAGACGCGGACCACCCGCCAGAAGCACGAGGGCAGCCGCGCGTCGCGGCGGCCCTCGTTCCCAGAGCCCGTGCCCCGTGCGCGCAGAGAAGTTCCGGGGGCTCGAGACGGGGGTCAATGCAGCCGGGCTTCAGGCAGAGCGCCAGATCTGGCAGGATCTTGCAGAGCCAGGGCTGCTCTGACCAGGGCGTGGGCGCAGGGTCCTGCGCGATCTTGCGCAAGTCCCGACTTGGCCCGTGTCTGGATGGACCCGGGTCTGTAGTTCCTCGACAGTCGGGCGTTGCGTCATGGGAGGGTTATGAATGGGGGGGGTGAAGAAAGGTGCACGTTTCTCCCATTAAGCAACGCCCGAACAATTGAGGTTTGGCCGCTCATGGGAGCTGCCTGAGAGCGTTGCCTCCCCCCTGGAGAGAGGGCCCCGCGAGACACCGTCCCGCAAGGGCTCTCGTTCTCTTCGGGGTTCCTTCACGAGGAGCCTTGTCAGCAGTCGCCCAGGGTCCCCTCCCAGGACCGTGAGAGCGAACAGCATATGCGTATCCGCGCCCTCGCGGGCCAGGCCCCTGGTCCGTGACCCCGCGGATACCGGGCGTTCGTCCGCGGATGCCCCGCGCGTCTGGACGCCCGAAATGGGTACGGAAAGACTGGGTACAATGCCCAACAGCAGTTCCTGCTCATTTTGAACGGGATTCATTGTCCACGCCGCCGCGGCCGGTGCCCATTCGAGACAGAAGGCCGCCTGCCCAACAGCGGCCGCTGTTGGTTTGGGACAAAATTTGTTGTTCGGCATTGTGCTCATCTTTTCCGCACCCATTTCGGGCGTCCAAACTGCGGAGCGTATCCGCACGATTGCGTAACCGCGGGATCCCGCCCCGGAAGCCAGACTTGCGAGGGTGCGGAGGATGCAGATATATGTCCGCCGCTCGTGATGGAGAAAACACGTCTGCTGAGGCGAGCCCCGGCGTCGGGCTCACCCGTCCAGCAAACTTTCGGGACGATCAAAATCGGTACGGAAAGGATTGTCGGGTATAGCCAGGGCCCCGGGTGAGGAGACCCTCAATTGGCCAGATTCACTAAACCAGGTTTGCCGTAAGTGGTGTTTTTCGGGTGACGGCAGTTCCGGTGAGTGGAAATGGGGCGGGGGCGCCGCCCCTGCTACAAGTCACTAAACCAGGTTCCACTAAACCAAGTTCTGCCAACGCCCGAAATTGGTACGATGCCCAAGAGCAAGTTCGGTTCATTTTGAACCTGGCTCGCTGTCCGCGCCGCCGCGGGCGTTGGTCTTGGAAGACGCAGCCGCCTGCCCAACGGCGGCCGCTGTCGGCGTTGGACGACGCTTGCTGTTGGACAGTGTACCCATGTTTTCCTCGCCCATTTCGGTCGTCAAACAAATCCTCTCTCTTGGCGATGTAGAGCACTACAGTCATCGGCCTGACCTGAGGAACGATACATAAGGAATCAAGCCCCTTGTTTCAAAGCAAGTCTGCGAAATCCGAAGGAACGGCCGGCGCCCGTGCGTCCAAACTCTGAAGGAACACCAGGGGGCTCGCCGCTAAAAAGGTAGCGGCACGCGTGCAACTCTAAGGAACGGCCGAGCCCCTTTTGAAGAGCAAGTGCTCCTTGTTCAAGCCGCTCGCCGTAAGGTTTGGACGCCCGAAATGGGTACCGAAAGAATAGGTACAATGCCCAACAGCAAATGTTGTCCCAAACCAACAGCGGCCGCTGTTGGGCAGGCGGCCTCCTGTCTCGAATGGACACAGGCCGCGGCGGCGTGGACAGCGAGCCCTGTTCAGAATGAACAAGATCCGCTGTTGGGCATTGTACCCATTATTTCGGTACCCATTTCGTGAGTGCAGATAAGGGGGCGGCCCGTCCGTCGTGGCATCATCTCTCCACCCTCCGCGGCACGTCCGTCCGGCACTCGGGCACGCGCGAGAACTCCCATGCGCCGAGCGTGCGCCGCCTCCGGCGGCCTCGCCCCCTCCTCCTCCTCCTCCTCCTCCTCCTCCTCCTCCTCCTCCTCCTCCTCCTCCTCCCTTCCTCCTCCGCCTCCGTCTCCTCCTCTTCCTCCTCCTCCACAATTACTCAATATGAATATACTCTCCCTCTTCCCCTGATGGCGTCCGGGTGATGGCCGCGCACCCTCCGCGTACTGTTTTTTACACACAGGATGCCCGGGAAATCCCGGGTAACGACTCTCGCTGAGGCGCCGGCGTCATTTTTTCCCAAAATGCTGCTCTCGTGCCGGCGTCATTTTTTCTCAAAATGCTGCTCTCGTTGAGGCGCCGGCCTCATTTCTGCTCCCGAATCCTTCCCCCGATGGCGTCCGGGTGATGGCCGCGCACCCTCCGCGTACTGTTTTTTAACACACAGGATGCCCGGGAAATCCCGGGAAACGACTCTCGCTGAGGCGCCGGCGCAATTTTTTCCCAAAATGCTGCTCTCGTTGAGGCACCGGCCTCATTTCTGCTCCCGAATCGTTCCGAATCGTGCTCCCGCTGCAGCGTGGGCCTCATTTTCGGATCGGTGTTTGGCCTCCGTCGTTCAGGATGGCGTTCTCGCCCCAGCGCGGGCCTTTTCTCGCGCGCCCATCCGCCCGCCACCACCGCGCCGCACCGCCACCACCACCACCACCACCACCACCACCACCACCACCACCACCACCACCACCACCACCACCAACAACCACCACCAGCACCAACCACCAGCACCACCACCACACCAGCACCACCACAAGCACCACCACCACCATCACCACCACCACCACAACCACCACCAGCACCAGCACCAGTACCAACACACCACCACCAGCACCACCACCACCAGCACCCACCACCACCACCACACCACCACCACCACCACCACAACACACCACCACCACCACACCACCACCCACCACCACCACCCACCCACACACCACCACCACCACTACCACCACCACCACCACCACCACGACAACCACGCACACACGCACGCACGCACGCACGTGCACCACCACCCACTACGCACGCGCGCGCGGAGCCACAGGTCCGCTACGACACGCGTCCGCGGATAGAGAAAATCAGCGCCATGGTAAGGGATGGGAGGGAGGGGTAGGACGTCAGATATGACGCGAGCGCACCTAGCTTGTCCTCCTCCCCCTCCCCCTCCT